TTTTTTGTTTTTTATCCTGAGGTGGTATTTATCTTTGATACTAACCTGTGCTTCTTGGATGCTGAAGAATATATCCTATTTTGTAATCCAACATGTTAGTCTTTTTATTGAGGAATTGAAGTGACTGATTTTGAGAGTTATCAATGAACAGTGTTTGTCAATTTCCGTTATTTTGTTATGGTGGGGTTTTCTTTTGATTTGCTCTTCTGAGTTTACTCTTTGTGTTTTCTTGGTTGTGGCTAACTCATCAGGTTGAAGTTTTCCTTCTGTACATCTTGACTTAGTAGATGCATGTTGCTTAAGTTTGGTTTGATCATGAAATGTTTTTCTATCTCCATCTACTCTGCTTATTTCTCATTTCCAGTTTTACCTCAATTAAAGTGACTCTATCTCCTTTCAGATGTTGAGCTGTTTTACTCATCTCCTTCCACTGTTTATCTTTTCACAGACTTCATTAAGGGATTCTTTGAGGCTCTTGAGCATATTCCTGATAGCTATATTCTGAAGTGCTTGCCTTGTGTGTCAGCTGTATTGCTTTTCTTGCTGCAGGACAGTTGCTGAATTCTGGTGGAGGCATATTGTTTTGGGTGCTGATGGTTGTGAGTTATTCAGTGGCATCGAGGTATCTGGGGTTGGGACCATTGTGACTGGAGGGGTTGGCACCTGGCTTGACTTTGTTGTGTGAGTGTTCTGGTCCTTGGAGTCTACTGTTCTCTCTGATCTGAGGAACCAGTGATGACTGTGGGTTGCCTGCAAGGAAGTGCTTCTGAATCCCGGCCAGGTGTGGTCCCTAAGGGGTTCCAGGTAGAATGTGTTTCTAGGTATTGAGAACTGGCACAAAGAGTTACCGGGTTAGAAGAGTTTGAAAGGGTCTACAAACAGGGTCTGCCACAAGGTTTGGCAAAGTTCACAGGGAGTGATGTCAGAGAGCAAGGGTGATCTTACACAGGGCTGAAGATGAGACTAAGGAATTGCAAATGGAGGATGGGAAGGAGCGTGAGGATCGCTTACCTAATATCCAGGCAGTTGTGGCCCATGGGTTCCCTGTTAGAGTTCCTAAAGGTACTTTTCTTTTCAGGCTTTCATAATGCAAAGCTACACCGAACAACTTAGATGTGCCACAGATGTGTCATTTCAAGTGCATAAATATGCAAACGAGGTATTGCACAAGTTGTCCCCCATATTCTTGGTTAGGAGGCGTGACCTTGAGGAAGTGTGTAACTAGAGGTGGCTTTTGAGGATTTCTGACTTGTGCCCTCTCTGCTTTGTGATTGCAGGTCAAGGTGGGAGCGCTCAGCTTCCACAGTATTTGATGCCTTTACTTCACCAGTGAGGACCCTAACCTGCTGCAACCATAAGCCCAAATAAACTCTGTTTTCTAGAAGCTGCCTTGTGTTCTAGCACAGCAACACAAAGTATCTAATACACCTGCCAGCACTGTATTGTGTGCTTGTTTCTTCCCAGCCTTGTAGGTTCTGGAACATTTTGGCACCTGTTATTTAGATACAATCGTTATTTGGGAAGCAGTTTTCTTATAAGTTGGACCTTTTCATATTTTAAAAGGTTACTGCATGTAGTAACCTTTTCCTGCAAGTTACTGCATGTATTAACTGTTTTTTTAAACTATCCTGGAGAGTATTCAATGCTGTTTTCACCAAATAAAACCCTCCATCTTGGGAGCTCTTTGGACGCAGGGCAGGAAGGTGAAACAGGATGTCCTAAGGGGAGACGACACACCCCACCCGCAGGGCTAGTTAGAACACATGATGTAAACAACTCAAAGGCTTCAGAAGGTCCCTGAAATTGACCAGATACGCTAAGCTCCTTGTGGTGGCTTGAACAGGAATGGCCCCCAGAGGCTCACAGATTTGAATGCTTGGTCTTTAGGGAGTGGCACTACTTGAGAGGGATTAGAAGGCGTGGCCTTGTTAGAGAAAGTGTGTCACTGGGGGAGGGCTTTGGAGTTTCAGCTCTCTTTCTCTCTGCTGCCTGCGTGTCCTGATGTGGAACGCTCAGCCCTTGCTCTGCCGGTGTGCCACCATGCTTCCTGTCGAGCTGATATTGGACTATACCTCTGAAACTGTAAGCAAGCCCCAGTTCAGTGCTTTCCTTTATAAGACTTTGTCATGGTCACGGCCTCTCTTCACAGCGATAGAACACTAAGACACACCTCTCTCTACAGACATAATTTAACTGTGAGGAGTACTGGGAGGCACTCTCGGACCAGGCTAAGACCAGCTGCTCTTCCTGGAAAGTAGCGCTCACAGCTGCCAGTTGTGGAGTGTGCTGCAGGGCTTTAGCTTTCATGAGCTAACACCCATGCTGGCATATAGCTGTTTGGTGATATTTGTTTTTGAGCCATTCTGCTCCTGTAAATAACCCCTCACCCCATATTCTTTTAACCCCAATAAGACTCATCAGTTCACAAAGTTGGACTGTGGCGGTATCCTCACTTTGAGCTGGGGTAAACATACTTGTTCATGCTTCCCCAGGAACAGTCTCACATAAATGTGCATTAAAACTTTAACAAACAGTAATAATCTGATTAGATTTTTTTTTTCTTAGACAAGTGATAGGAAAACCAAGACCTGAAGTTAGGGACATTTCATTTGCTCTGATTAAAGTAACCAAAGGTTCCCATGTCTTATTTAGGGTTCCTGCTGTTGCGACTTTTTGACCATGGCCAAAAAGCAAGTAGGAGAGGAAAGGTTTTATTCAGCTTACAATTCCACATTGCTGTTCATCACCAAAGGAAGTCAGGACAGGAACTCAAACAGGGAAGGAGGCAGGAGCTGATGCAGAGACCATGGAGGGGTGCTGCTTACTGGCTTGCTCAGTCTGCTATGGCACCACCCACAGTGGGCTGGGCCCACCCCCACTGATCACTGATTGAGAAAATGTCTTACAGCTGGATCTCATGGAGGCCTTTCCTCAACTGAGCCTCCTTCCTCTCTGGTGATTCTAACTTGGGTCAAGTTGACTCACAAAACTGTAGTGGAAGTTTGGGTGTCTTTAAAAACTCAGTTATGGCGTGGAAACATATTTTAATCCCAGGTATAGGATATGGAGCGCCTTTCGATTGTTCACAGCAGCTGACTATTTGCCTCGTGTGGGCGCTGAGAAGGGCATGATCTTTGCCAGCTGCATAGTTTAATTCTGGGGACTCTGGAGAGAAAATATATGCCAGAGTCAGGAGAGAGGCACGGTGGGGTGGGGGATCTGAGAAAGAAGGCTGCTGCTCCCCACTGCTCCTCCTAGTTACTGTTGTTGCACTTTGATGAGAAGTTGGAGATATCCTGAAACAGACTGGACTTGCCCCAAGGAATCCAATGACCACCCCCCCACACCCCACCCACACACTAACCTTCTTCTCTCCTGCCTGGTGTTGGGGTGTTGAAGGGATTGTGGTGGAGAAGGGAGACAGAGATATAATAAATCACAATAAAATATGATTTCTAAAAAACGTGCTTACACAAAGCCAGCCAGTCCACCATGAAATGTAGAAAAGTGGGGATGATTTATCTCTTTTAGTGTTCTCCAGACAGGAACCAAGAGGCTTTCATTAATGACTGCTTGTGAGGGCTGTAATTAGCCATTTGGAGGAATCCCTGTGTCCGAGCACTCAGAGACAGCTACTCCTGAGTGCATCAATAAAAATAAAATGAGGTGATCATTTTTGTCTAGACAGGCTCAAGGTTTAGATCTATTTGCTCCTGGTCCTATATAAGATTAACTATTAAGCTGTGCTGAATGAAACTTGGTGTAAACAGTAATAATAGAAATATGATGGCTTCTAGGAAATGGCCTGTGTCATCCATAGCCTGTTTCTAGGAAATGGTCCGAATCATCCACAGCCTGTTTTAGGGAGATGTTGGGAGGTTGGTCTGATGCATGCTACTAGCTCTCAAGATCTAGGGACACCTATCCATGTTGTGTAAGCCTACCTGATTGGCTAATTAAACGGCCTATACCTGAACAGGGCAGAATGGGGTAGGCGTGGCTAAGGTTTCTGGGCTTAGAGGACAGGAAGAAAGGAAAAAGAAGGATGCCACAATGTATTAGCCTGGAGAAGAAATCACATAGGGCCAGGAGGACTCCAATAATGGCATGAAAAGGCCCAGATGAAGAATAAAAGCAAGTATGTATAAGATTATGGATGGAAGATGGGATGGTTAAGCATAGAATGGGGGCTGGGACATGGATGGTGAGGTGACTCAGACAGCATAGGTAGGAATATCTGCCTGGACCACTGTAAATAAGGCAATTGTAAAATCTAACAGGTGTCTGTCTTCTTATTTGTGATAGCGGGTTAGATAATACCGCCGTGATAATCATAGGGCAAACAATAATAAACATTTTATAGTTCAACAGCTCATCTTACTCATTTACTACAGCAGGGAGACATGGTTAATTGCAGATCCCTGTACTTTCCAGGTTCCAACCACCCAGGACTATACAAGAGCAGAGCTATGACTGGAGCCCTGATTTCCCCAGGCCCCCATCTGTGCTGCTCCACTCTGCATAAGCACCCCATCAGGAACCACTGACACCCACCTCCCCTGGGCCGCATGCCAGATCCCTTAACTTACCTTCCACACCCAAGATGTGCTGTTCAAGCAAAACACTGTAATTTGGGACGAAAGCTACAAATTCACTCTAATCAAGTCTTGTCCTAAAATTCTTCTCTTGCCCCGTCTCAAAAACTCACTGAGGATTTGCTAGTGTCCCTGATGGAGATTCTTGTGGAATGGGGGTTTCCCTCTTTTTTCCCCCCTTTTCTGTTATGAAAGGAAGCTTTATGGGTCCTGTGGGAACAGCAGAATCTTGCCTCCCAAGCCCCTGCCATCCGGCTCCCCTCAGCACCCCCACCTTTTCCCCTTTCCCTTCCAGGGGCGAGCAAGAGGAAATACAGACTCGGGAAAATCTTGTAAATAGCTTCAATGAAAGAGCTGCTCTCCTTGGAGCCTATACGGAAAGGCAGCAGGGAACAGCTCCGGCCGTTAAGGATTCCTCGAGCTCCCGGCACCTTCGCATTTGGTAGACGACTTCCTGAGCGCTTTTCCTTGTCTGAGGGAAGCACTATCAATTTTGGCCACAGGTGGCTTCGGGCTGGCTTGCTTCACCAGCCTCTGGGGTTCCTGCCTCTTCTCTTCCCTGGATTTCAAGCTTGGGCTCCTGTGAGCTGCAGACCGAGGCTTGATGTTCTCCCTCGAAGGCCGTACTCTGCAGTCGGTTGCCCTGAGCCTGGCTTCCTCCCTGGGTATGGTACGTGCCTGTGTCTGTTCCCTGGCCTTCGTACACTCCTGCTGCTTGGCCCTGACACAATCTTGCTCCTTGGCTCCAATACACTCCTGCTCCTTGGCCCCAACGCATTCCTGTGCTCTGGCTCTGTCGTGGGCCTGTGTCCTGGCCCTAGCATGAGACTGTTCCCTGGCCTTGGCACGCACATGGTCCTTAGCTCTCGATCTGGTCTTTGACCTGACCTTTGACCTGGCGCTTGAACAGGTCCTCCTCGACTTTGCCTTGAAAGACCTGGCCTTGCGTCTCCAGACTTCTCTGGCCTTCTTGGCCGCCTTGCGACGGGAGCGGGGCCGGCGTGGTCGGGGGGATTTGAGGACGGTCTTCCCAAAGGAGCGGCCGCCCAGGGTCAGCCGGGACGGCCCCACCTTTTTCTTTGGCTTTGGAACCTTCCAGATCCTGAAGTAGCCCGCAGCTTCGCTGCCACTGACCCGCAGGAGCGTGCCCTTCTCGGATCTGTTGGGATCTCCGATGTGACGGGTGATCTTCCTGCGCACCTCGTAGCCCGCGTTCCCCAGCTCCCGCTTGAGGGCCGCCAGGGTCAGCCGCTGGTGGCCCGCGATGGCCCTGAGCAGCAGCTGCGACACTTTGAGCACCGAGTGCGGACCCCGCCTGGCCGGTGTCCTCGGGGATCTTTCCGCTGGCTGCTGGATCTGGATCATAACTTCTGTGCCTTGGGATTCCCCATTGGGTTGGGCCGTCTCAACCATGGCCCCGCTTCCCCCACCGCGGGGCCACCCGCTTTGCTCTGACCTAAGGCCCTGGCTGGAAGTGTGGAGTTCTGGGGGGCGCCTACGTCACAAAGGGGCCCCTCCCGGCCCACGTGCTTGTGCCCCAGTGGGAGGGCAGACACAGCCCGCCCACGTGCTGATGTTATGTCATGTGAATTCTATTACCTCTCCTCCCAATTTCTTCCCCCCTACTCTTGGCCCCCTTTCTTTATAACCTAGCTGTGATCTCTCTCTCTCTCTCTCTCTCTCTCTCTCTCTCTCTCTCTCTCTCTCACACACACACACACACACACATCTATATTCTACATGTGATTGAAAGTTTAATGTTTGTCTTTCTGAGTCTGGTTTGTTTCACTTAACATCATAATCCATGGTTCTATCCATTTTCCTAAAAATATCATGTTTTTTTTTTTAAGATTTTATTTATTATGTACACACTGTTTTACCTAGGTATATACATACCTGCAGTCCAGAAGAGGGAACCGATGGTTGTGAGCCACCATGTGGTTGCTGGGAATTGAACTCAGGACCTCTAGAAGAACAGCCAGTTTTCTTAACCTCTGAGCCATCTCTCCAGCCCCAAATGTCATGTTTTAGTTTCCCTTTCCAGCTGAAAAAGATTTTGTAGCATCTGTATACTACGTTTTTAAAAATCTGTCTGTTAATGGATATTTAGGATTCCATTTCTTAAATGTGGCTACACTGGGTTCTTGTTGACCTATTGGCTTTCACCTTCTTAGATTTTAGAAAAATAGAGACCCATTTTCTGCCACCTATTCATTGTTGGATGTTGGGGAAATAATTCATCATTCTGTCCCACCTTCTTCTCTGCTGCTTCCTTTAACCGTCAAAATACTGAATACTAAATAAAAATATATTTTTTATTTGAAAAGCTATTTTTTACGTTGATGGGGGAGGACACCCCTGTGAGACTTTAGGAGACAAATACCTATTTCTAAAGAGCAAAACAAGTTGGATTTCAGGATTTACATCCAAAGTCCTTAGTTTTCCAGAAGAGAAATGGTGCTTTAGAATCCTAACTACGGCTTTCCAGAAGACAAGGACTGCACTGTAAAGCACTTGATTTGCAATGCGCCTATAAGCTTCAGCTGTCTTCTCTGCACCCACGAGTCGCTGACTCAGCCACTTCCACAAGCTCCGCACCCGAGGCTTCAAATCTATGACCCATTGGCCTTGAAATGGTTACACAAAGTACCAAGTCTCTGGCAATAATACCACCAGGATCTATGGCTGTATGAAGAAGGAACCCCAAATCTTGTCAAGCGAGAGTAGAATGCTATGGTTTGAGTTGTCACTCCAACTCCTCCCCCAGGGAAGTTTACTTACCAGTGTAATGATATTGAGGTGGGCTAGGATTTAGACTGTGTTTGGGTCATGAGGGAATCCTGGAGATGGAAAACCTAGGGAAGAGAACAGAAACTACAGACAAAAGCTTCACCAACAGAATTCAAAAGATAGAAGAGAGAATCTTAGGTGTAGAAGGTACAATAGAAGAAATCGATACACCAATCACAGACAATCTTAAATCTAAAAAGTTCCTGACACAAAACATCCAGAAAATCTGGGACACTATGAAAAGACCAAACCTAAGAATAATAGAAGAAAAGAAGTTTTCCAGATCAAATTTTCAACAAAATCAGAAAACTTCCCTAACCTAAAGAAAGAGATGCCTATAAATATACAAGAAGCTTACTGAACAACAAATAGATTAGACCAGAAAATAAAATCCTCTTGTCACATAAGAATTAAAACACTAAATGTACAGAAAAAAATGAGTATTAAAAACTGCAAGCATAAAAGGCCAAGTAACATATAAAGGCAGACCTATTAGAATTACATTTGACTTCACAACAGAGACTCTAAAATCCAAAAGGGCCTGGGAAGAGATGTCTCACAGTCTCCAAGAGACCACAGGTAGCAGCCCAGACTAATATACCCAGCAAAACTTTCAATTACCAAATAGGGAGAAAATAAAAATTTCCATGACAAAACCAAATGTACAAGAAAAGATCATAGCACTAAGCGCCTTCATAAAGAAACTGGCAAGACCTCATACAAGAGATTTAACAAGCGCACCGGAAAGCTCTAGAACAAACAGAAGGAGACACACCCAAGAGGAGCAGACAACAGCAAATAATCAAACTCAGGGCTGAATAGTAAATTAGGAACAAAGAGAACAATACAAAAACAAAACCAAGGACTAGTTCTTTGTGAAAATCAACAAGATAGACAAACTGTTAGCTAAACTCAGTAAAAGGCAGAGAAAGAATATCCAAATTAACAAAATCAGAAATGAAAAAGGGACATAGCAACAGCCAAAGAATTGTTAGTTCTTATTTCAAAAACCTGTGCCTCACTAAAATTGGAAAATCTGAATGAAATGGGTGGTTTTTGTAAAAGATTTTTTTTCCTATGCCTGCCCTTGCTCCCAAATAATGACACAGAGACCTTTATATTAATTAATAGGAGATTTAGGCACCATAGCTGTGCAGATTCTCAATTAGCTAAATCTAAATTAACCGGACTGACACTGGCCTACTTGCCCTATTACCTGCCATCTTAGTCTTACCCTGGCTGCTTCTGCTCCATCTCTGCCCTCAGGGCAAACTTCTCTCCCAGCATTCTCCCTGGGAAGTTCCTCCTCATCCTCTTCTACCTAGCTATTAGCTGTTCAGCTGTATCTTGACCAATTAGAAGGTGATGGAGACCAATTTTACATAACATTGAGACAGAAGATGCTTCATCATAATGCCAGTGTCTGGGCTGCAACCAGATTTCTGGTATGTCAGCATTTGAATACACAGAGCACAAAACATCTTCCAACATCTCCCTTTTTTAGTCTAATAAAAGGCTCTTTGTCTTACAATAAACTATATACAATAAGAACAATTATGAAAATTATCAGGTAGGAATTACATTCATAATGTATTTGGTTCTGGTAAGTTCAAAGTTCTGTACTTAAATCACTTTCTACCTTAACTTGCATTTATCTATCTAAAAATATATTTTTAGACCTTTAAACATTTTCTTAAATCTTAAACAACTTCAGTTTAATTGTTGGACTGTATCTACCTAGTCTTCAACCCCATCAGAGACCTGAAAAGAATAAATATTACCTGAGTGGACAGGAAATGCAGAGCAAGTAGTCTCCAAGACTATAAAAATGCCAGAGACAGCTGGCTGCCTGGACAGTCACCCAAGTTCCTCTATAATGCTGGGCATCATCTTCACCCTTCTGGCCCAGAAGATCTGACATTTTTTGTAAAGCAGGAATTATGAAGGACTTGCGTACCTTGTCCTTGCAAAGTTTGGCAGCTGACTTCTTCCGTGCCTCACATGTGCAGTTTGGACAGCATATTATCAGCAGTTGAGGCAAGGCAGTTTCTTGCCCAGTTGCTGCTTCGCCGCAGTTGAGGCAAACTCAAATGGAGGATCTTTGATGTCCATCATCTTCCTTGAAGTAGAATGGGGGTACTGCCAGGGGCAGACATGACTCACTGTCAAAAACAAAACAGAACAAACCTTTTACTAATAAAACATCTTTAAATGCCATATTCTGGAGCTCTTTGAGGCTTTTGAAGATCATCCATTTATTTATGGTGGTTATGAATAAGCAAGTGTTGCTTATTTCCAGCTATTGACTATCTGATTAATTCTGAAAACATCTCCAGGAGGCTAAATAATGCTTATTTTTGTAAATAACTGAACTAGTACCTAACATGACCATAAGTTTGATTGACTGACTATTGACTTGCATTTCTTAATTATCCTAAACAGTTTTTAACAGTGGCCCTCAAAGGGACTAGAGCTTTACATAGCACTTCTTAGTGAACAGCATAGGTACAAAACCTTAAACAAGAGCTGAAACATACACACAGTATGTTGTAGCAAAATATAATCTTAGCTTTGTATCAATATACAAAATCCAAACCAATGTAAAATTTTTTGGCTTGTTGAATGCCCTTTAGTTTAAAAGTAGATTCAATAACATACCCTTTCATCCTAGCATTCCTAAATCCTCTCTTTCTTTTCATCCCTTCTCCTCACTCTTCCCCTTAACACTAGATAGAAGAAAGAAGAAGGAAAAGAAAGAGAAAAGGATACCTGAATCTAAACTCCTTTGTTTTCTCCTCAACCAAGACCACTAACAGCTTGTGATCAACACCCCTAAATGACAACAAACATTCACCACCCACTTAACAACCAAAAAGCAACCGCCCCACCTCTTGGGAACGGGGTGTCGTTCTATTAAAATTGCTTCCTGCAATCTGGGGTGACAGAATCTTTTGGGAGCCCTAAGAAAATTGGGATATTGGCCAAGTCCTAGGAGAACTATCTGTAACGTTTGCTGTTTTGTCTCTGCATGATGGGAATGTGCAGGGTTTAACCGAAGTCCTGGTTGGAACACTCTGTGAGGTTGGACCATCTTAGCTAGCCATTTTGAAGATGTTCTAGATGCAGATTTTTGAAGAAACAGCTACCGAGACAGTCTGTGAAGTTGGATCACCTGATCTTCTTTGGTGTCTGGTCCCTTTGCTCTGTTAACATATAAAATTTAAGAAGTAGTATGCATTTCTGCATTAACACATTTATGAAATGTGCAGGATTAATAAATCAGCTAAAGATGATTCTCTGCTACATGTTTCAGTAAAGAAGGCACTTGTCTTTCTTTGTAAGTCAGTTTGGACCGTATAATGAAACTATAACATAAATTTTCATCCATGACATATGACAGGATGGCATATAAGTCCTGAGGACTCTATAGTCAGCAAAATTTATTATCTATGCAGAGACATTTTCTCATGTCTCAGTCTCAGAGCTATTTCCACATAGAGGGACCAGCAATTCATGTTACCTGTTTTGTTGTTCTTAGTTGCTTCCTTCAAGTCTGCAGTCAAGATTTTCAAGAGGTCTCCCCTGGTCACATCTAATTGTTGTTAATTTTGAAGGAATCCATAGCTTTTCTTCTCCTGTTGGAACAATGAGAC